AAGTGCCTTCGTGGATCTCTCGAAGAACATAATTGGTGTCGCCCAGCCCCAAACATACCGCCAATGGTCCATCGAACGTTCTTCTATATAATGTTCCATCTTTATCTAATGCAAACCTAGCAGCTTTGGTTCGTAGGGCCCTCGATTCTCTATGGTTCGATGGGAGCTTTCCATTCTTCAAATAGTCGATATACTTATTCCTCCAGCCCCACGTTAAACTTGTTGAATTTATCTCGGCGTGACCCTCCTCAACCACAGACCTTGATAATTAGACGACAGTCCCTGGGACGATGTCATCTTCTTCAACCAAGGATCCTAGATTAGCAAGTGCATCGGCCTCGCTATTTTGTTCTCGAGGCACATGATCCAGAGTCAACTCCTTGAAGCGGTGCAAAGTTACCTGTAGCTTATCCAAGTACTGCTGCATTCTATCCTCTCGAACCTCGAAACTTTTATTTACTTGGTTTACCACCAATAGAGAATCGCACTTGGCCTCGATGACCTCTGCTCCCAAGCTTTTAGCTAGTTCGAGACCTGCAATCATGGCCTCATACTTGGCCTCATTGTTAGTCAATCTAGAAGTTTTAATAGATTGTCTAATGGTATCACCCTTGGGTGGCTTCAAGACAATGCCTAGCCTGGACCCCTTCACATTCGAGGCACCGTCTATGAAAAGGGTCCATACCCCAGATGATGTACCCGAACTTAGCAGGAGTTCTTTCTCCACTTCGGGTACGAGGGCCGGCATGAAATTGGCCATGAAGTCAGCTAAGATCTGAGACTTGATGGTCGTTCGGGGTTGATATTTGATATCGTACCCGCTAAGTTCGACAGCCCACTTGGCCAATCGGCCTGATAGCTCAGGCTTATGCAAAACATTTCGAAGGGGGTAAGTGGTTAATACACATATAGGATGACATTGAAAATATGGTTTTAACTTTCGAGATGCGCTTATTAATGTGAGTGCTAATTTTTCTAAGTGAGGATACCTTGTTTCAGCATCCCCTAAAGTTCAGCTTACGTAATAAACAGGAAATTGCGTACCTTGCTCTTCTCGAAATAGTACCCCACTTACCGCTATCTCTGACACAGCCAAATATAGGTAAAGCTTTTCATCTACCTTCGAGGTATGAAGCAAAGGCGGGCTCGACAAGTATCGCTTTAATTCCTCCAGGGCTCGTTGGCATTCCGGGGTCCATGCAAAGTCCTTTTTCTTTTTGAGCAAGGAAAAGAAATGGTGATTTCTATCTGACGATCTTGAAATGAATCGACCCAAAGCAGTTATTCGCCCTGTTAACTTTTGCACGACCTTCACTCTATCTACGATCTTGATATCCTCGATAGCCTTGATCTTATCGGGGTTGATTTCGATACCCTGATTGGAGACCATGAAGCCGAGGAACTTACCCGAGCCAACTCTGAAGGCACATTTCTCCGGGTTAAGCTTCATGTTGTATTTCCTCAAAATTGCAAATGTTTCCTGCAAATGAACTAAATGGTCCTCTGCGTGCAGGGACTTAACCAACATATCATCAATATAGACTTCCATTGTTTTACCTATTTGTTCGTCAAACATTTTGTTAACTAGGCGTTGGTATGTAGCTCCTGCATTTATAAGCTCGAAGGGCATTACGTTGTAACAACAAGTTCCAAATTTAGTAATAAATGAAGTCTTTTCCTGGTCCCCCAGATTCATCTGAATTTGATTGTACCCGGAGTAAGCGTCGAGAAAGGTTAGGATCTCGTGGCCGGCCGTGGCATCAATCATATGATCGATGTTTGGCGATGGGAAAGAATATTTCGTACATACCTTATTCATGTCCATATAGTCTACACTCATTCTAAGTTTGTTTCCTTTTTACGGAACTACAACTACGTTGGCTAACCACTCGGGGTATTTTACCTCCCGAATGGATCCTATTTTAAGAAATTTGGTTACCTCGTCTTTAATGAAGGCATGTTTACCTCAGACTAAGGCCTCCTTTTTTGCTTCACCGGTTTGAACCTGGGATTGGTGCTCAGCCGATGTGTGGTGATTTCCGGTGGAATCCCTGTCATATCTAAATGGGACCAAGCAAAGCAATCCATATTATCAATAAGAAATTGAATGAGTTTTTTCCTGAGTTCGGGGGTCAATCCCGTTCCTAGGTATACCTTTGTCTCGGGTAAGTATTCGATAAGTATGACCTGCTCCATTTCCTCGACAGTTGACTTGGTTGCATTAGAATCTTCGGGAATGACGAAGGTTCGGGGAATAAGGAGATCCTCTACTTCGTCTTCGATTACCTGTTGTTCTGACTCCATCGAGGCTGGGGGCTGTGATTTCTATTTAGCTGCCTGCTTACCTTGGTGCTCGATTTCTCCAAGCCCGAGGGATCTGGTATCGGTACCACTTCCTCAATTGCAAATATCTCTTTTGCAGCATGTTGCTCTCCGTAGACTGTTTTCACTCCTTCCTCTATTGGGAACTTCATCATTTGGTGAAGAGTTGAAGGTACTGCCCTCATGCTATGTATCCATGGTCTCCCGAGGAGTGCGTTATATCTCATGTCACCTTCGATGACATGGAATATAGAGTCTTGTATGGTCCCGGCTACGTTTACTGGCAAGATGATCTCTCCCTTTGTTGTTTCGCTTGCCATGTTGAAGCCATTCAGGACCAGGGATGCAGGTACAATCTGATCTTGTAGGTCGAGTTGTTCCACGACCCTTGATCTGATTAAGTATGCTAAGCTACCTGGATCCACCAAAACACGTTTAACTTGAATTTTATTTTAAAAGGATAGAGATTACTAGGGCGTCGTTGTGAGGTTGAGATATGGCTTCTGCTTCCTCGTCACAGAATGATAAGGCGTCATCGGGCACATAGCTCCGAGTCCATTTTTCTCTTGTGATTGATACTTTGGTGCGTTTGAATACAGGCCATTGAGGGACATCGACTCCGCCAATGATCATGTGGATTACATGTTGTGGTTCTTCTTTCTCGTTTTTCCTTGCATCTCTCTCCCTGAAGTGATTCTTAGCCAGATCACTAAGGAATTCTCGAAGGTTGACCTCGTCGAACAACCGAGCCACTTCTTCCCTTAGCTGCCTGCAATCTTCTATTCTATGACCATGTGTGCCATGATACTTGCACATCAAATTCGGGTTCCTTTGAGAAGGGTCGGTCTGTATAGGCTTGGCCCACTTGGTCTCTTAGATTCTTCCAATAGACGACACAATCCTTGATGCATCTACGCTGAAGTTGTACTCCGATAATCGAGGTGCCTCTGTGGGATCGGTATGCTTATCGAATCCACTTTTACTCATGAGTCCTCGAGAACTTTGATCTCAATTGTCTCTCCGATCGTTCCGAAGAGCGTTCCAACCTGAACCGTTGTTCTTTTGATCGACATACGATTGATACCGTTCCATGTTCGATCTCGACTCCCTGTTCGTATCCCTATGGGGCTTGACTGCGGATCTGTTAGGATGAGCCGAACCCGAGGGGGCTCCCAACCGATCATCCTCGACCCTAATTGGTTGTGCACATCCGACCATATCACAGCTGGATATTCGATCAAGTTCTACATTAATTGTTGAGATGCAATTGAGCTATATTCGTTCAAACCTTGCATAAAGGCCTGTACTGCCCAGTCGTCGGAGACCGGTGGCAATTCCATTCTTTCCATCTAAAACCTGGACACGAACTCCCTTAACATCTCGTCGTTCCTCTGTTTATTTTGAAGACATCCGATTTTCTCGTGGCCACCTTTATGGCCCCGGCGTGTGCTTTCACGAAGGCATTTGCTAACATAGCAAACGAGTCAATAGAGTTAGGAACTAAGTTGTGATACAAAATCATAGCTCCTTCCGATAACGTTTCTCCAAACTTTTTTAACAATACCAATTCGATCTCATCGTTATTTAAATCATTTCCTTTGATCCCGCAAGTGTATAAAGTAATATGCTCATTGGGTCGGTTGTTCTGTTATATTTGGGTATATCGGGCCTGCGAAACTTTTTGGGAATGGGCAGCGAAGCCGCACTTTGAGGGAATGATTTTTGTATGAATTTTTTGGCATCTAATCCTTTCAAAAATGGAGGTGCCCCCGGTATCTGGTGTACACGGGAGTTATAAGTCTCCACCTTCTTATCATTGTCTTCAATTTTCTTTTCTTCGGACTCGATCCTCTTAGTGAGCTCTTCGAGCATCTTCATAATCGTGGGGTCAGTCCCCAAGCCGCTTTCATTTGATCTTTCTGGCATTGGCTCAGCACGTCGATTGTTTTCATGTTCAGCTACACTCGGAGTCTTATTTTCACCGAATATCACTTGGAGGCTGACTCCCCCATCTCCTATTCCTGGTGTTTCTTGGTTTCCTGGTTGGGCTTCCCTGCGTACACTCCCTTCGGGGTCTGTGCCTAAGTTGGTGTTTAAAGCAATATGAGAACTAACATCAACTGGTTCCATATTTGGCACTTCCCCAGGGTTTACCAGTGATACACCGACCCCTACATTGTTGTTTTCACCAAGACCTTCGTTGTCATGAGCAGGTGCATTTTGTGAGCTACACATGTTTCAGCCTGAGAATCAAAAAATTCTTGACAAGAAAAAGTGTAAAAATAACGTGTGTAATATTTTTAGCCCCGCGATGGGCGCCAAACTGTTTACCTCGAAAGTACGAGTAACAATTAAATTTAATTTGTGGTTTTAAAGATACATGATTAAATTCAATACTAATTAATGATTAAGAAATATGAAGTAGAAATGAAAGAAATAAGTGAATCAAACCGATGTAACTCAGCAGCAATGACCTCGAGCTTAGTAACCTCGAGGTGGGTTAAGAGCAATAAGAATAATGAAGCAAGAAAAGTAAAGTAAGAGCAGTAGAGCTAAAGGACAATTCTGCTAAACAGTAGGCGAAAAGCAGAGGGTATATTCTTTTCTCAATGATTAGATGATGTTACAAATGATTGGGGTCCCCTTTATATAATAGGGGAACCTTAAATAAGGAATATTTCTATTTACAGTAAGGAATATTCTTGATACAGTTGTCTAACCGACTAGTACGGAATTGTACAATCCTATTCCGGAATTTGCGCCATGATCACGGGAACGTGGTAGGAATCTAGCTCATTCTGTTACAAATTCATAATGGTATTTGGAGGTCGAGCATACTCGGCCTCTGTACGCATTGCTCTATCTTCGAACTCGGGTCTGGTCCCTCGAGCTCGAACTCGACCTCGCCTAAACTCGGTCCCTCGAGCCTATAATCGAAGGCATGCGAGTATAACCGTATACAAGGTGCAATCCAAAAGGTGTCTCTTTCATTTCCCATTCACATCCTTTAAAGAAAAAAAAGGCAACAATTTCCTCAAAAAAAAAAATGCAGATAAACTAGAACTGTGAAAATATAAAGCGAATGCGCTCAACCACCCAAAGGTAATGTTAGTTGCATTACATAATAGAATAAGGGGTAAGCTGAGGTTTAATTCTATTTCGCTTCATGGTTACGAATTGATGGGAACGTTAATCAGTCCTGTCAACAAGGCAGTGAAGCATTTGTATATGATTTTTTTTAAAATATAGCAATACAAAGAGTATATTCTAGTTAACAAAATTAAAAAGAAACAAAATCAGAATCGAAGGATTAGAAAATAGATCCTAGTTGTGTTTGTGTACAACATCATATGATGTGTTTGTGGTAAAGTGAAGTACAAAGTCAATTATAGAGAGGTTTATTCGAACTTTTCATAATAGTAATTGTGAGATCTTTGGCAGGTGTTTCTTACTTTTACCCTTTTAAAAAGAAGGAAAAGGACTGAAAAAAATAGGATTTCAAATTAACTTTTAATTACCTAGAGAGTAAAAATTTATCTTGAAATATCCAAAAACATATAGGAAAAACTCCTTAAGGAATTTTAGCGAAGTTTGTTCTCACAAAAGCAAGTTGTTCTATCCGAAATCAAAAATAAATCAGAAAAAGACCCTAAATTTTAAGTTTCACACTTGTTTTCTCCCTTTTTTACTTCAGCAAATTGTACTTTAGCGCAGGACTTTTAATTCTAATTTCATACTCGACATACAATTATTTAGTCAGTTTCTGTATATCAGTCTTTAAATATTTTAAAAGATTTAGTGATGTCGTCAAAAAAAAAAAAAACTTAAAACCAAATTTATATCAAAAAATTAATTTCAGGATAAGCTTTAAACCCTCCATCCTTAAAAGGAGGACATGCAGTTGTGAAAAGATTTGGCCAAAAGCGATAAAATTGTAGATTTGTTCCCATGGTTTCATATCCTTCCCAAACACAGATAATTTTTATACAAAAAAGGGACAATAGCAACATTTGTTAGCAAAGTGCTTACCCTATTTTCCTATAACACCTTGACCCGATGACTTGTCACATTTTGGGGTTAAAAAACGTCCCAAGGATTTTGTGGTTCAACAATTCAGGTAGTACATAAGTTATGTTTTATGACCTGCAGATTCAAACGATACAATTAAAAAAAAAAACTTAAAAGCAAAAGTAATTTCTCAAAATCAAAATAAAAGTTCAAACGTACGTTGTCAGTACGTCCATTCTCTAGACAAAAGAACAGAAAGAAAAAAAGAAAAAGGAAGAACCTCAATTTACCAAGAGAATATCAAGACCTAAGATATTAGATCAGCAAATGCATATAAACGTGAAATTTAGAGAGAACAAAAAGGGATGTGCAATGTTCAATGTGCTCAGCCACCCAAAGCTGTAATGTAAATTGCATTACAAAATAGAATAAGGGTTAAGCTGAGTGTATATTAATTCTATTTTGCTTCATGGTTACGAATTGATCGGAAACTTTAACCTATCCCGTCAACAAGACAGTGAAGCCTTCACACACTGATGATATTAGATTAAAAGCAGGATTAAAAGGAAAATAAATGTTCTCAACCATCCAAAAGTATAATGCAAGTGAAGATTGCATTATAGAAGAGAACAAGGAGTAAGCTGAGTGTGGATTTTCTATTTCGCTTCATGGTTACGAATTGATCAGGAACCTTTATCAATCCCGTCAACAAGACAGTGAAGCGTTTAATATTTTAAAAAATAACGACAGAAAGATTAATTTCCTAATTAACAAAAACAAATGAAATAAAAAGACCAGACTAAATTAAACTATATTTTGACGGCCAGATCTGGAGAGCGATCTTCTTCTAGGCCAGAAAACCCTACTGATCTGAAACCTCAAAGAATTCTAAGATGAATTTGTGTTTGTGGTAAAGTGAAGTACAAAGTCTTTTTATATATAGAGGTTGGAGTAGAACATTTCGGCATAGTTTTGTGACATGTGTCACCATATTGATCGTAAATTGTTTGACATCGTAAATAAATAAAAATAATTAAAGGCTCATTGGCTAATTCTCGTTTGACAGGTGTTTCTTTATTGCATTATCTTCTCTGTTCCTCACTATGATAGGAAAACGTTCAAATAAAGAACCGAATCTAATTCCATAGTAGAACGAAAAAGAGTTATTTATTGAAAGTTATTAGGAGACTTTTCTTTTCTTTGACATAGAATCTGTTAAATGGAAAAGCAAACGAAGAACAAGATGAAGCATCTCAGTTGAATTAATTTAAGCATGGTGAAAGAATTGGTAGTATATTATTTCCTACTTCTTTTATGTTATCATACCATTTTATTAGTTTGTCCCGAAAAAGTCACACTTGTTATGAAATAATAAAAGTAGAAGAACAATATTGCAGAGAAAGAGAGAGAAAGGATTCTTATTGATTTGGGGTGAATTACAATGGAATAGAACTTTCTATTTATAGGGAGAGGGTGACTTAGCCACCAAGCAATGAACCCTAGAATCTCTCTAAATATACACATTCACCATAAATATAATTCTATTTATAACACTCCCCCTTGAATGTCTATTCAACAGATAATGTGCCTCGTTAAAACCTTAACTAAAATAAAACCCAGTGGGAAAAAAATTCTAGAGAAGGAAAAAGAGTACACATATCTAACAATACGCCTTTTGGTTGCCTCGTTAAAAACCTTGCAAGGAAAACCCAGTGGACAAAACCTTGTAAGGGAAAAAGAGTGCAACGCGTATTAACTCCCCCTGATGAGAGCATCAATTCACATCCTTGAGCCTTCGCATCCCGATCTTGTAAACTAGCTTCTTGAAGGTTGACGTTGGTAGAGATTTTGTGAACAAATCAGCCATATTATCACTTGAACGAATCTGTTGCACATTAATATCACCATTCTTTTGAAGATCATGTGTGAAAAATAACTTTGGTGAAATGTGCTTTGTCCTGTCTCCTTTTATGAATCCTTCCTTCAATTGAGCTATGCATGCTGCATTATCTTCATACAAAATTGTGGGTAACTTGTCACATTTCACACCACATTTGTCTCGAATAAGATGTATTATAGACCTCAACCACACACATTCTCGACTTGCTTCATGAATAGCAATTATCTCAGCATGATTAGATGAAGTAGCCACAATTGATTGCTTAGTCGATCGCCAAGATATGGCAGTGCCTCCACAGGTAAATACATAACCTATTTGAGACCGAGCCTTGTGTGGGTCAGATAAATACCCAGCATCAGCATAACCAACAAGATCGGGACTGCAATTGTTGCCATAAAATAAGCCCATATCGGTAGTCCCTTTTAGATACCACAATATGTGTTTGATTCCATTCCAATGTCTCCTTGTGGGAGCAGAGCTATATCTTGCTAAGACATTAACTGAAAAAGTTATGTCAGACCTTGTAGTATTGGCAAGATACATTAGTGCACCAATTGCACTAAGATATGGTACTTCGGGACCAAGTAGCTCTTCATTCTCTTCTTGAGGTCGGAATGGATCCTTATTCACATCAAGTGATCGAACAACCATCGGAGTACTTAATGGATGTGCTCCATCCATGTAAAACCGTTTCAGTACCTTTTCTATGTAGGTAGGTTGATGAACAAAAATTCCGTTTGCCAAATGTTCAATTTGCAAACCAAGACATAATTTTGTCTTTCCGAGATCTTTCATCTCGAATTCCTTCTTTAAATAATCAATTGCCTTTTGGAGTTCTATAGGAGTTCCAATAAGGTTTATGTCATCAACATATACGGCAAGTACAACAAATTCCGATGTTGTTTTCTTTATAAAAACACATGGGCAAATGGCATCATTTATATAGCCTTCCTTTAATAAATACTCACTAAGACGATTATACCACATTCGTCCTGATTGCTTTAGACCATACAAAGATCTTTGCAATTTGATTGAAAACATTTCCCGGGACTTTGAATTATGTGCGTTTGGCATTTTAAATCCATCGGGAATTTTCATGTATATCTCATTATCAAGTGAGCCATAAAGGTAGGCGGTAACCACATCCATTAAATGCATGTCAAGCTTTTCATGGACAGCAAAACAAATGAGATAACGGACGTTATAGCATCCATAACAGGTGAATATGTCTCTTCATAATCGACACCAGGCCTTTGTGAAAATCCTTGTGCAACAAGGCGTGCCTTATATCTTTGTACCTCGTTTTTCTCATTTCTCTTGCGTACAAAGACCCATTTATAGCCAACAGGCTTAACACCATTAGGTGTTTGGACTACAGGCCCAAAAACTTCACGTTTCGCAAGTGAGTTCAACTCTGATTGGATTGCTTCTTGCCATTTTGGCCAATCACGTCTTTGTCGACATTCTCCAACAGACTGAGGTTCAAGATCCTCACTTTCTTGCATAATGCTAGATGCAACATTATATGCAAAGACATAATCCACCACTATATCCACTCGATTCAAATTTGTCTCAATATCGATTGGATTTATTGATAGTTCCTTATTTTCTTGAGTCTCGGGCTCAGTGGATTCCTCATGAATCTCAGAATTTATTAAATCGTGGATTTCTTCATGAGATTCTTTCGTAGTGTCATTTTGATAATTTGTTTTCCTTTTTCTAGGATTTCGATCTTTGGAACCTAATGGTCTACCACGTTTTAGGCGTGCTTTTGACTCATTAGCTATGACACTAGAAGATTGTCCAATAGGGACATCAATACGGATTGGAACATTCTCTGCAGGGATATGTGATTTTGTTATCCTTTTTATATCCGTAAATGCGTCTGGCATTTGATTTGCTTTTCTCTGCAAATGGATAATCTTTTGCACCTCTTTTTCACAAATAGAGGCACGTGGATCAAGATGAGATAATGATGGATTTTTCCACAAAATTTCCCGTTGGTTTCACCAACTTCTCCCCCTAATTTTGGAAAAACGTGTCTCATCGTATCGACAGTCTGCAAATCGTGTAGTAACAAATCCCCCGTCAATGTT